AACAATGGAGTACTTGTAGACCGGCCCGAGGTCAGCATCACACAGAGACGGGGTGACAACGGCTGCTTCTGGAGCGCCTTCAAAGACGGCAAGAAACTTCGTAACGCGGCCCCCTCGGGTTACTAGATGAACAACCATTCCAAGGCTAGTCTTGTGAAGCACATGGGGTGTCACGAAAGCAAAACGATCTGCACGGAAAAAGTAGACCGATGAGGATTCCATTGCAGTAGCCCTGGGGATACGAGAGCGTTCCAAGATGGATGCCGGATCTTGAAGGGCTGCTCGTGTGGGAGTGACGGAATAGATCCACACCAAATCCTGAACTGATATCAATGATCTATCGAAGCCTCGCATATTCGTAGTCACATCGATAGCGTATTGCTCCAGAACAATACAATGCAAGTCTCGTCTATCCAGGCCGACAATAAAGAAATCTTTGGCCTCTAAAATCACACCATTGCCATAACCTACTGCAACAACCTGGTAAAGTACTGGATGGAAGGGACCGCCAGGAGGAGGAGCCAGTGTGGACGAGTATGATTTAAGGGGAGTTTGTTGACTCTCTCGAACGGGTTCCTGATAATTGCCGTCCAACGTGCTTCGAATGATTGCGAGGGACTCTGCTCGAAATCTAATCGCGGCCTCCAGGGTTTGGAGCTCCATCGCCGGCACCTTGTTAGAAGGACGCGGGGTGTCGCGCATGTAATTCGGGAACAGCGACCGGACCCAGCGGGTGGCCTGATAGCCGGCTGGAGGAATCGGGCGGTATTTGTCGAGAGGCAGCTCACTGGTGACGCAGTCATTCGTAATGCCCAAGTATCTATTACGACGTGGACGAACCAAAATAGCCCATGCGTGAAGCTGGGCGAGGTGGTGGGTGTATCCTTCGGGAGTGACCACTGAAAGGTTAGCTTTCCAATCATTTCGCTCTTTATTTTGGGAAGACGTAGCTTCGTGTCGGAAAGGTCCCCTTAGTGCCAATGAGCGACCCCGACGTCCTCGTGTGGTAGAGCCGCGAAGGGTGGGGTTGGGAAGCGTTCGGGTGCCACGGGCACCGCAGCCGGAAAAGGTGGCTCCTCGTAGGGGTTGCATAGCAGAGGCAACGCTAAAGAAACGCAAGCGATGTAAGCGTCTTGAAGAAGCTGCACTGGCTTTGACCCATTTTGGAGGAGAACACGGTCTATAAAACGGAGGAGCTGCGATGAAGGTAAATGCTGAGCTAATCGGTGGTGGTGCTTGTTGAGTACTCGAAACAAGTGCCGTGAATCGTTCTCTGTGGTGTCCATCGGGGAAGGGATTAGAGAACGCTCCTCACGTTACCAGGGGATTCCGTCAACAATGATGAGCCTCTTCTGGGTCGTTGGTGCTGGAACGTGACTCTGGTGTTCTGAGAAGGGAATCGACATCCATGGATTCAGAGTCATGATCGGTCAAGGTATGACCGGAAGGTTGCAAAACGGAGCGCACCCCGATACCTGGATCACTGTTCTCGGTTGGTCCTTGACCTTGGCATCGGCAGTGGCACCCATCGAAACGTGGTCGGACATAGTGAGCACTATCTATAATAAGGAACATTTTTGCATAGTCTCGTGATCCAGTGTTGCTGTTCGCTCGAATATGTGACAATTTCGATAACGAAAAGAGTGAAGAAAATGTATAAAATGTATGTTAGGAGATATTCTGAACTGAAGCGAATGGAAGGAGGGTGTCGGCGGGACGTAATGCAAGCTTTAGCTAGAGTGTACTCCTTTCTGACCGGTTGTTATACTTAGTGTGAAACGTATATATACAAAAGGCGCAGTACCTGGTGACCCCGGAGCACGGCTTACATTTCACCGGGTCTGAGCAAAAGGAACACTGTCTGGCCGAGTAGGAAGTTTCCATTCATTAAGAAAACATGCGCAAAAATGGAGAAATAAGAAAAAAAGCAGAAGGAAGACTCGACTCGCACACATGCACACAATTGAACCTCTTCAAACATGCACACTAGAAGAAATGCGCACAAACAAACAAAGAATATCCATGAAAATGATCAAACGTTCAAGCAAAAAGTGTACCTGCGCAGCTATATTGCATTTACAGCGAAAAAACTTGAAAATACAATAAACAAGTGTAATCAATAACTCATCTAATCATACATTAGGCTCATCAGTGGAGAAAATTTACTTTACACTCACACATTGACACACACACAAGGAACGACAAATATACATGGAAATGTGAAACACATCGAGAAAGAAATATACCTGGCCTGTTGCAATGCATTTACAGAGATGAAAACTTGAAAATGCACAAAACATCAAGATTAGAAACTCACTTTGTTGAGTGAGAGTGGAAAAACCCATACATTCAGACAGAACATGCACCAAATACATGTGAAGACCTGAAACAAAATAAAAGCACGGTGCATTCTCACTCTCGCATTCGCTCACGGCAATCTATCATCATGGATCAATCATACAACTCAATCAAAACATTTTTAAATGCACAAAAACACGCACACACATACACATTCTCAAAAAATACAGAAGAAAGACTCACCTTAGAGCGTTGTAGTGTAGTTCAATTCACACAATCTGAAATGCATGTAATAAAGCGTGCAAAAGGTGAAGAAAAAGAAGGGAGAAGAGAAAGTGAACGACCTAAAAAAGACTATTGGAGAACAATCATAAAGAAGCGAACCAAATGAACGGTTGCATGGAAATCTCCGGAATTGCTTGGTGTTGTTGTTGCTCGTTGGGTTCGAGAAATGGGGCTCATCAGTGTGGTCTCTTGTGAGAAACTTACCGCACCTTCACCCATAACACTTATTCACACATACTCTCACACATACACACATTTAAACATTCACACTTACATAAAACACACATCAAATTGCATATTCAAATAAAAAAGAACACACACATATAAAAAATGAGAACGAAGAAAAGAAAAAGAGCTAGATCCCACACATAACCACACTTAAACTCCCACACTTCCACACAAAATCACACATTCAATGAAAAAACATGCACAGAAATAAAAAAATTGTGGATATTATACGCATTAGAAGGAAAAATACACGTAGAATGTGAAAAGGAAGGAGAAGAACAGCATACCTGTACAATTACACTGAGTTTTCTCCGAAAAAATTCTGAAAGTGCAAAAAACACATGAAGTTAGAAACTCACCTGATCAAGTGCGGCCGAAAAAAACTCATACATTCAAATTGAACATGCAACAAATGCATACGAAAACCTGAAAACAATCGAAAGCACGGCGTCTTTACACACATACACTCACTCACAAAAACTCAACATCACAAACCTACTACAAGACCAAACTAAACCGCACACAAAAGTGAATAACTGTGCACGAAACGAAAAATGCACGTAAAAATTTAGAAAGCGACGGAAAAGAAACGTACCTGAACACTTATATTGCGCCTTCACAAGAACAACCCTGAAAGCGTGCAAAAGAAATGCAATAAAAGCTCAAAATATGCAAGAAAATGTGAAGAGCGAAAATAAAAAACATACCTTTGCAGTAATATTGCGTTTTCATAGAAAGAAACATGAAAGTACAC